TGTGGTGAGTGATGAGTGATGAGTGATGAGTAGTGAGTGATGTATTGAACTGGATTGGATTGGATTGGGGGAGGTGGGATTAAAAGAAATTGGGGGGATGTGATTTATAATGTAGAGGATAGGAGGGGAGAAGAGGGAAGGGGAGAGGAGGGGAGGGGATGGTGTGATAAGGGGGTATGATAAAGGGGGTATGGTATGGTTTGGTATGGTATGAGAAGAGAATAGAGTGGAGGGGAGGGCATTTATATATAATATTTTGCTGAATGTTTGTGATATAGGATATGATGTGGGATGTGATTTATAATATGATTTATATATAAATATAGATTTTTCTAAAGAGAGGAGGAGAAGAGAAGAAGAGGGAAGTGGTGAGTGTGTTACGTTGTAACATCATAAACTAATATCACGTGTTATAGAATCACGTAGATAGTCATGTGAGGGAGCGAGATTCGAATCTCGCTCCCCAGCTCCATCGCTCCAATCCAATGTTGGAACACGAAGGTCTAAATAATCAAGATGGACTCCCTTTGTATAGAGCTTCGTGCTCAAGATCAATCATTTAGTATACTCTACTATTAGTTACGAATAGCATATCATTATTGTCATTACTTAAGTCCCTGCTTGACGCCTAGAGCACTTCCACGTGATCTAGACGGCAAACCTCGTAACATTGATCTAGTAACGACTTCACTTCCAAGTGAAGACCAGTGATAAAGCCTTAACCCACAACTACCAACCAGACGAAACCTTAGGCAGCCGCTGCCTTCAGTACAGCATCGTTACAAATCGTTTATTCTGCGCTGAATCTTTGTATACAAGATATTATATAGTTTAACAGCCTTTCGAATGCTTAATTTTTTGTCTTTATTGATAACTTCAATAGCTAAAAGTATTCGACCTTCTTGATTATTCGATTCCATAATATGTTGTTGATAAATCGAGTATTGAAGTTAAAAGATATAAATTGAGGTAAAAGTGGCCCGCTCGGTGATATGGCCCGCTCGGTGATAAACCACGTTATTATAATAATAAATATGATATTGACTTTGTAATATTTATATATAATTGATTATCATACGATTAAATATTATATGGTTTATTTGAATATCATATGATTAGATATTATATAATAATCTATTTACAAGATTATGTATAATAATTTTGAATAATAATATCAAATAATTATATAATGTTTATTCTACAATACCCTGTAACTCACTCGTATTTCCGGGTAATCATCCTATAAAATCTTTATAGAGTAGGCTAACCATTCTGTAGAGGCTAAATACCCCGGATAGGGTACGGGTGCCTAGCCCTGTTCTTGATATCAGCCTATCTCGAATGTTTGTACAGGTATAGAATGTATATACTCTATAGGATATCCGAGTGTTGATAGAGACTATTAAAAATATGTTGGAACATCAGAATCTTATCTAGAATACTTCTGAGTTTGACATCTTTGCAATCTATCACATGTAGATTTATCCCAAGTCTATTTTAATCAAACTTCGATACACTCAAATATCCCAGATGTATTCAGTACTCCGAGTTATATTCGATATTGTTCTAATATCAAATATTTCTAAGTGTTATTGCATCCAATATAATCTATCAGGGTAACAAGAAGGAACTTAATAGTTATCACTATACGGATTCGTATATCGAATATGAAGAATTTTAAAGTAAACGCTGCTTTCCTGTGGCAAAGTCAGGTTACTTCGATAGATTAGCCAAAATTTAGTCTTGGTAATTACATTTGGGATGGCATATTGTTGATATTAACTTGATGATATCGAGATGTAAAGTCTTTAGCCTCTTCGTACAATTTATTATTCTTGATTGATTCTCTAACGGCACTGGAGTCGTGCACCTCGCTAGTCAGGACGGCTCCCTTCATCATGAAATGATGGAGGGAGCCGGAGAGATGAATTTGTGAATCAAGCGAGAGGATTGAGGGGATGGAAAAGGGGCTTCCGAAGTTTGATGGAAGATGATTCGACGAAAATGACGGTTGGAATGTAGTATCTGCGATAACTGTAACTACATCAAGGTAAGTTAATTACTTGTTATTTGATAGGTTATTTAATACATAACATCATACTATTGATCGAGGTGAGGTATATAGAAAAATGGAAATACTTCATATATGGTTTGCCTAGGACTGTGTGGTGTCCATTGTCCTAGATTGTTTCATGCAGGGAGGTCTATTGGTGTCGCCCTTTAGTAACGGGCTGTTACTAAAATATGTGATATAGCATGTAGAGGAAATATTTTAGGATACTTCTTTGAATATTTAAGGTCGAATCAATTCGCATCTGATCAGATCAAAGACACGAGATCATTATGTAGCAAAATTACTTGCACCAACGAATAAAATCCGCTGACCACCTTGGATCCCAAGTAGTGGTATCTAGTTGTTCATTTGACAGTACAAAGACATGAGATAAAAATATGTGATTTATATGCATGAAAATATTCACAATTCGTGTAATCTTTCGAATCAATGAATGAAAATTGTAATTACTTGGCCGCTTGGCTTAGACCGCGATTAACTTTTTTGACCCCTTAAAATACTTTCATCGTGTCACAAATATTACGTAAATATTGATGGGTAAAAATCACGAAGGGGAGGTCAAGAGGCAAGCACATTTACTCTCATTGCCTCAACTAATTTGCCTTATTTAGCCTTTTTTTAGATAACACTCTCTATGAATGTATTGCAGACAACTTCAGAACAATTCTTGCCTAGGTGAGGTAATTGTAGAAGTAGTTTTGGATGGCGAGTAGCTTCAGCCTTGATGTTGAAACTAATCTTACACTATAAATGGGATGATTCTCGATAGATAATGGAGCTAATTACTGCCCAGATACAATTTTACGCGAAGCACACTCGATAGCGGCAGAAGAATACGGACGAGAATTTATTCGAATTTGTGGTCGCAGCCACTCTGATGACTCAAAGTAGCGGATGTACCCTCTTGGGTTCTTTTATCACAATGGGAAGCTGATTTTAGCTATGCTATCCCTTCACCTCGATAGCGTGAGATGCCAACACTAAAAATCTTGCAGTAATATGCATGGCATTAACCGCTAGAACGAGGAGTTCCAAGAAATCTTATATCTGAAATACTTGCTAGCCCATGCTCAAACTCTGTAAAACGGACCAACGGACCAACGAACAGACGAACCCTATCATTTTATGAAAGCCTCGATTCATAAATTTCTTCCACAATCAGTCAATGTTTGGGGAACGGCTTTCATTAGAACGATGGCCAGAGTTTGCAGGGAATCTGCAGGACCTGTATACTCAGGAAGAGCTTCTTGAGTTTCAATTCAAGCATTGACTGTTGAGTAGTTAAGCCTTTAGTAGATGAGAAACTTGGGGTAAGGTTCGCTAATTGTCTTCCTGCAATTCTCGAGCCTGTTCCATCGATTGAAAATTATTTCAGTAAAGAACCCTCATAACATAAAAAAGTAGAGATTGATTTAATATGTATCTAGAAAAGCTGATCTAAGATCTTATCTTCAAAAACATCGTATGTCCAATTTCGGGACCGAGCATGCATATTGGCGAATATAACCTTAAAACATAACTCGTCTCAAGTAAGATCTTACGAAATCACACCGACCCTAGCACGTGCCTTATACTGGTTCGCTACAAGGAGAAACACCCTTTTCTAATTAGCGTAGTGGCGTATACTTTCTGGCGTGGGTATATTTGGAAAAGCTTGAACCATAATCCAATCTTGGCGCATGTGATTGACTCGGGACCGAATTTTCTCGGCTGAGCTACCGACATGAACACGCGTCGTTATGCGTAGCACCAAGCTTCTAGAATAAAGATGGAAAGAATTGTGGTATATTTGAATCAACTTAAGGATCGCTTTAGTCAAATAAGTTTTTGCTTAAAGACTGTGGGACACCGGGTGGTGGAGATAACGTGGAGCGCTAACGGCTAGCCCCTATTGTACCTGAACGGGGTAAAGCCCGGTGGTTCGCTTGGAAAGGAAGGTCTTGTTTCAATGAAAGTATTTCGACTATGTAGTACGTAGGACATCTCCAAGCCAGTGTGTTACGTATGCATTTGAGATGATTCTTGGATGACTATCAGACCATCCTGGGAATTTTCCTAGTATTGTGAAGGCTGAGAATTGTTTACCGATACTAGCGTCCGGTAGAGCCAAGTAAACTCTTCCATAGCTAACTATCGGAGAACGATACTGTCTAATCTAGATTTTCGTAAGCTTCATAAAATCATAATTTATCGCCTTGTTACAAAGTCATCACTGTACTAAAGTGACGCTATTCAGATGAGAGATAATTGGACTTTGAAATACTGAAAAAAGTCCAAGCTATTCCCATTTTTAGTCTATAGGCGTCTGATATTTCAGATTTTAATGATATAAGGACATAGGGAAAAACACAATTAGCGTAAAGGTACACAATCATTGGGTTTATTTCATTAAAAAAACAGTGATATCACAAAATGATCTAGATTTATGAAGAAAGAGTGACCCATAGATGATGAGAAACTCGGTTGCAAAATTATCTAATGCGACCGGGCATACCGTACCCACAGGGTGTATGCCGGTGTGTAAGGTCTAATTTGGATTTTGATGCCATATCATTTTGAGCTTTGATCCTGGACCGACAAGGTGGGACGAACGTTTCCATATGTTCTCTCAATATGTTTATAAGATCTATCAATGCTCCTCAAAAAGTGTTCTCATCATCATCAGGTTCTAGTCCTTTCATTCGCTTACCACCCGATTCAACCTTAACTGATATTTCGACGACACTCTTTTTCGGTTTTCTATTTCAACTATGCGTCAATCGATGAGTACCGGAGCTGTTGCAGCTCTCGCTGCTTCTACAGCAAATGCTGCCTCCCTTGCCGATCTCTGCACTGTTTCCAATGTCCAAGCTGCTTTACCAGCAAACGGAACCTTGAACGGCATCAACCCAATTGCGACTTCTGTTACTGCTAACGCAGTTTACAATGCCACTACGAAATCTTCAGACGTCGCTTACAACTATTGCAATGTCACCGTCACCTATGCTCATCCTGGAAAAGATTTAGTCGTCGCTTGGTACAACTTTCCTAGCCCAGAGAGCTACAAGAACCGTTTCTATGTTGGCGGTGGAGGTGGATACGCTCTCAGCGCCGATCCCACTGGAGGTTTGCCATATGGTGCTGTGAGTGGAGTCTCTGATGCAGGTTATGCTGCCATTAGTGGCACAACTGTCGATGAAGTTGTCTTGACTGGAAATGGATCCATCAACTGGGATAGTGTCTACATGTTCTCATACCAGGCACTTGGTGAGATGACTCAACTTGGAAAGGCCATCACACCATTGTTCTACAATAACAACTCCTCAAAGCTCTACACCTACTACGAGGGATGCTCTGATGGTGGACGTGAGGGTATGTCACAAATTCAACGTTATGGTTCCGAGTACGATGGCGCCATTACTGGTGCTCCAGCTTTCCGTTACGGACAACAACAAGTGGTAAGTTATAATCGTGATCAATAAAGCCTTGTCATGCAGAAGATGCTAATATCTTCTAGAACCACTTGTTTTCCAACGTCGCTGAGGTCATGATGGACTACTTCCCACCTCCTTGTGAAATGGACAAGATTGTTAACATGACAATTGCTGCCTGTGATCCCCTTGACGGCCGTACTGATGGCGTCGTATCTCGAACCGATCTTTGCAAGATGCACTTTGACTTGAACAGCACTATTGGCGCTGCTTATTCTTGCGAAGCTTCAAGTAGCAGCTCCCTTGGATTTGCTTTCGGTCAAAAGGCTAAGAGACAAATGGGCATGCCCACTGCTGATACACCTGCCCAAAATGGAACTGTCACCGCTCAAGGAGCTGCTCTCGCTGCTCAACTTTACGACGGTATGTTCAACTCCAAAGGAGAGCGTGTCTACCTTCCATGGCAACCAGCTTGTTCATTCCAAGACGCTACCACAAGCTATGACAACACTACCGATACATGGGGAGTTGATATCGCATCTACCGGAGGTGAATTTGTAACCAAGTTCATCCAATTGGTTGATCTCGACAACCTTGCTTCGCTTGAGGGCGTCACAATGGATACGCTCCAAGGATGGATGCAACAAGCAATGGTCAGATACATGGACAGTTTGCAAACCACCGTCCCTGATATCTCCGAGTTTCAATCTTCCGGAGGAAAGCTCATCCACTATCACGGAGAGTCCGATGACAGTATCCCAACCAGTTCTTCAGTTCGCTACTACGATTCCGTTCGCTCCATCATGTACCCTAAACAATCCTTCAACGAGAGTATCAACTCTCTCAAGGCATGGTACAAGCTCTTCCTCATCCCAGGAGCCGCCCACTGCAGCACCAACACTCTTCAACCAGGTCCTTACCCAGCAGACAACATGGCTACCATGATCGATTGGGTTGAGAATGGTATTGAGCCTGAGAGACTTAATGCTACTGTTAGCAGTGGTACTTACGAGGGAGAAGTTCAGAAGCTTTGCGCTTTCCCATTGAGACCTATCTGGGATTCTGAGGGTACTTTGTCCTGCGAATATGATCAAACTTCCGTTGACAGCTGGATTTACACCCTTGATGCTTTCAAGGTCCCAGTCTACTAGATGTGTTATAGTATGTTTTTCGGAGGGTTATGTGATAGAGGAGAGACTGTGTAATTAGAGTGGGTGGAGGGTATAGCATTTTGTGGGAGTTGTACGTGCATAGCTATAGCTGGTGTTTCTTTTCTCAATTCATGTATGATATCTTTGCGTTCTTTGGCGGAAAGTATATATGAACCGATTCCTGCCCTAAATTTTTCATCTTTTTCCCTAATATTTGAGTGAATGTCAACCCTTTTCAACTGAGCACAATTGCTCACATTGAGAACTACGCGTCGAAATAAACTCACCATTGGCGCCGGCTTTCACTTAAAATGCACCGATGGACATGCGGCGTATAACATTCGGAGACCCGAAGCGCCGAAGCGACCCGCTTAGGAACGAGAACAAAAACAGCTAGCAGTACTTTCATTTTAGTTTAGTATTAAAATACATACCTAGATTGGGATGGTATAGGAGCGATAGAGCTAATCTCAAATGCGTATCATTCCAACATGAACTTAATTCATAAACGTTATCTATCATGTGGGGTAAATAGGAGCATACATGCGAGAAAAATGAGGCGTGAATTCGAGGAGATTGAAGAGACAGTGATATCCAGATATCCATGCCATATGCATAGGTTGATGTACTGAAGTGGATGACTTGGTGGATGAGTCGATCAGATATGATGAGTGAGATAGCATGGAAACTCCGAAGCGCTTAATAACCCGATTTCATAACATGTATCCAAAACGTGAAACTTCAGTACTTCCACAAAAATGTTGAAATGTTATAGATTTGAAATTGATCTTTCAGTAACTCCTTTAGTTTGGATTCAATTCAATTGAAAATAGTTTAAAATAATAATAAAATTATTTAAATATAATTAAAAATTATTTTTTAATATTTGAAATCTATTTATAAAGACTAAGTTTTGTTACGAGGTTTGCCGTCTAGATCATGTGGAAGTGCTCTAGGCTCTCGAGATGATTTATAACTAGACGTCAAACAGTGTCACACTCAAGAATACTGGGTAAAGTATCTTGTATTAGAAAATACTAAGCTAAGGAGAAAAGAAGAAGGAAAACAAGAGTAGAGAGTTTTCCTATGATTAAATACAAACGGGGCATGCCACGTGACCCGGAGGTGTGAGGCGTCACAAACAGGGACTTAAAGTAATGACAATAATGCAATTCGTAACTAATAGTAGAGTATACTAAAATGATTGATCTTGAGCACGAAGCTCTATACAAAGGAAATCCATCTTGATTATATAGACCTTCATGCCTATAGCTAGTCAGGACCGCGCAGCGGTCCATAACGTGACTTAATCACGCTACCTTGGTTTAGTCATGTGACGCGGCGTAGAAGATAGCCGTCGTAACACTGAGGTAATATTGGTCTAGTATGTTAATCACTCTTCTAAGTTCTACGGAAGTGCGAAGCTCTCCTACAAAGAGCTTCTCAATCTAGTCCTAATAGGACTAGTGCCCTGTGCACGTGCTACGCAGGAACCATTCACTTTAACAGTTATTAATTTTAATAAATAGATTTATAATCTAAAAAAATTAATTTTTGAATATATATTATGAAATCGGATATATTAAAGAAAATAACACTATCAGAATACTAAACTAGATAGAAAATGTAGAATTTCACCTTTATATCGAGATTATTTCATCCTCAAACAATAATTAGTGAATTTCCTACGGAGGTGTCTGCCCTATTTTTTGTCACCGCTTTTTCTGCCGACAATATTATTTGCTTGATTTCTCGATGATATTGAGGCGGATCAAGGTGATTTACATATTCTACTACCCCTACATGTAAAAGGCAATGACAAAAATAAGGGCAGACACCTCCGTAGATCGAGATGTTCAAGGGGTTCAGCTGATGGTGGGGTTCATGAGCAGGGTTCGCATGAAGCGCTCTTTTTCCATTTTTCACTGTGCATAGAATGTGGAACAAAAAGTTATACGTTTCATTATTCTTATGTGTCTTATGACGTTGTTTTATGCGTTGTACAATTGTATTCCGCGTTGATATGGGTGTGGATACAAGGATTTGGCTTTTTGTGTGGTGGGAGAGCATTAGCGACCTGAGATATAATGAGGCGAGAGGAAAAGAGAATGACCATGAGGAATGATAGCTAGGATTAACGATGAAGAGATGGGATGAATGCATATATGACGGTTTTAAGGCGATTTAGCTGTGAAAAGATGGGGTTTATGGAGGGGTAGAGGAAACGAAAATCAGGGTTCAAAGTTTGTCGGTGAGTGGGGCTTTAGTGGTGGTTAGAGGTATTTTCGAAACGCGATTTTTGACCCTTTTTTTTTTTTTAGAAGGGATCAAGGGACCTGTTAGTGCACCCTGCAGAATCGAATCGAGTTCATAATATAGAAGGATTTGGACGCTGGTGGGTATTCTGTTCCAGTGGCAAATATCCTTGGTGGAGGAGTAAAAGTGACTAAAATCAGGGTCCAAACTTCATATCAGCGGGGCAAGTGCTAAAGCAATCTCCATAATGATGGGTTCCTTGTCTTATTTCTAAGACGTTGCTGCAAGTGTGACATTTGTTTGACTTCTTCGCACGCCCCAAATAGAGACGACTGATCGGCGGTCTATGAAAATGGGTGTGGGTTGCAAATGAAGCAAGAGATAATGATCTCAAGTTGGGCATCCTAGTCCTTGGAAGAAGCCAACTGTTTCGAGTAATTCATCCTTCAGAATATTTACAGTCTTTTGAAGTACTATAACAAGTGAGGAACTCTAATCTGGTAATTAGTATCATCCGGTCTAAACAATCTCAAGTCTTTAGAGCATGTTAACAAATTACCTAATTTGGTACCAATGCCCGTTCAGGCAGAGCAGTACAGTGTTAGCCATTGCTCATCTACCGAAATGTAGATCGGAGTCTAGATTTGGGTCTCTCGAAATCCATACCTAATATCAATGAGTCCTTGATAGGTTAGTGAAAACTCATCATAAACAATGATTTTCAAAAGTCCAGGGCGTCAAAAACAAAACCACTACAATGGTGACCTTATGCCAAATGGCTTACCGGAGCTGGAGCTGGAGCGAGGGAAAGTAAGGTCACTTGCTAATGTGTGTTTATATACGAATTGCATAAAATTGTTCGCCCATTTCAGTAAAGGAGTGTTGTTGCATGTCTCATAAGACACTGTTAATCATCACGAACGATAGTTCATCCATTCTGCTCGCTTACTCGGCAGACGGCTTGCGCAAATTTCAGGAGGTGGAGTGCCAATTTTATTCTCATTGCAGGCGCTACATATCTCTGGTCTGACCTTGAATTTTCATTCCCTGCCTGTAATTGCAAGTAGTTGTCGAAAAATCTAGTGATCTTTGAAGAGGCGTATAGTTCACTTATTAGGAATCATAAGCTTTTCAGCCATTTTTGAAGTACGGTATTTCCTATACCTACGTTTCCAGCTCTTCATTTAAGGGAACTATTTCACGCACAAATATCTTGTAATACATATATGCCATTGCCAAATTGAATAGGCAGCTTGAGACCTGCTTGCCACTGAAGTCATCTTTTAGTCAGTATGGTATGGCAGGGGCTGTACAGCCTGATTCTGCCTGATTTCGCGGTAGTTTATTGTCTGTCATAAATTTTAATTGTCAGTTTTTGTCTCATTGTTGAAAACCACTTCACCAGAAAGCAACAAGTGAAGGAATAAGGAAAGTCCGCTGGCCAAGAAGGCAATCCTTGAATGTATTGGTAGCATGTATTCAAACTCTTTCCTCGAGATATCAGCTTAGCTCAAGATCATCTAGTCTTCAAGGAGGTTTTTAGTAAAGCATAATCTCTCAATCTTTGATCATGCTAATAAAGAAGAAGTATCAAATTCGTCCTGTATACATTAGTTTTTCTCCTTGGTTCAATTCAACCACATCAGTTATGCTCATTTGTCTCCACATCGACATAGTTAACCCGCTTACTCATCATTCAATCGAGTGATAAGATGTATGAAGATATGGTATCTTACCTATACTATATGACATACTGAGTAGTAGGATTTTTCGAGCGAGTATTCCCTTACCAATTCATCTCGTAATATATTTTGCAGGGTATTTATACAAGAAACGCAATATCGTATTCATATACCTTCAAACTTGACCATGAGGATACATCGGAAATGGTACGTTTCATGATATTTCTCTTAAATCACTTTGAGGTGGATCTAGAAACTACGGCAAAATGGGTGTATTCATCGCTTTTTCTTGACAATCAATGCCGCTGCTCGTCCCACATAGATCTTCCACGAGTCACACTGTCACGCATCAAAACTTTACTATTTCCACTATCGTATTCACTGTCATCTATTTATCTTTGAAACTCTTCTTAGAAGATAAATTTCAAATCGATATGATAATTGAAGTAAAAGTCCAAAAAATTTGGTCTGTGTGAAGACGGGCCCTCCACTCTTGCAGAGACATCACCTAGTGGTTGTTGACAGTGTCTCGATCGCTGGATTATCTCTGAGATAATGGTGAATGTACCTATTTATATAATTTCCAACCACTACCATGCTGCTCTTTGACCCACCTGATTTAATATCAACATATTATACAACCTACCTTGATTCATTCACCATGCAGGAAAGATAGATCGGAAATAGAACTACTGTCCGATGTTTCCAGTGAATTATGATCTTTTCGATCAAAATGATCATAAAAAAGATTTCTGTCATTTAGTGTAATACCCGGGAAGTCTTGAGCTGTTGTAGCTTCGAGCAGGTTTGCACCTCGATAAAATCCTATTAGGACTTTTCTGAGAGGGAGAGCGGTTCACCGGATCGTTCTCAGAGTATTGGGTCTTCCGTCTTCCTTCTCATAGCTACTGATATGGTATTCGTTATCATCCCATAGAATCTCTCAGCTCTACTGTCGTTTACCTCTGTCTCGTCACCGAATTTATTGATCCCCTGTTTACTGTTACTTACGATAGTAGGCGCAAGTTAAATGGGCGTGTCGTTTGTGCTTAGCATAGGCGTCGTATCATATCCGATGCAGCATCCTGTAAGCTTTTATGGAGTAGAGAAATAAGTTACGGACTCGTTTTTGCAAAAGAAAAATATTCACATGTGAACGTGCCATTTCTTTTCTGAACATGCCATACTGTTCGTCCGGAACTTCGAAACAATCTTTATCTTTATCAGTAAGAATGTAAGTAAGAGCAAAACAGGCGCAGGTGCATCCGTAGAGATACAAGCTTTCCATTTACAGAAAGTAGATCTCGTCCGACAAGTTCCCCAAATATCGTAAAGCATATGCTAATGATTCACTCTACCTTCCCATATTCACTCTCTAAGCTATGTCTCTATTCAGAAATTACACATATAAAGCCGAACTTGAAATATTCAACCTGATGGCCAAAATACAATTGCGCATTATCCCACGCTTTAAGAATCAAAATTTTGAAAATTTCATCCGGACAACTCTGACTCTAAGTCAACTTCTTCTGAAGTAAATTTTCACGTTTAATATTAAGAAGAACAACAACAACAAATTATTATACTCATTTTTGTCAAAAAAATAGTTCCTTCTGCTATCGCTTCAATACTGACGAGCCATAATTACTCGAAGAATTTGTCACAACACAATCCACTCTGCTGGTATTTCAAATTTCAGATATGAGCGGACGTCGAGAAATTATAACTTTAGCAGGAATCACTGAGACTCGAATAATTCATGTCGGAGCTTAGAATCATGTTTCGCAGAATACGCTTGTTCATCAATCTAAACACCTCTAAAGCCTTTATATCCTCTTTAACTGGGGTTTCTAGCCCCAGTTCTCCTAAAAGTCTTTCAGGAAGTACCCACAGCTGAGTCAATAAGCTATAAGTACGCGGTTGCGATTCTGGATTTTAGGTAAACTATCAACTCATGTTTGCACTTGGAATACATGAGTCTCTCCCTTCCGGCGTGGGTGTCTTCCTAAAAAAAAGTTATAAAAAAAAGACAAGCGCAAAGTGCTGGCAGGGATTAAATAACATACAAGACTGAAATTACCTATGTAGCGTAAAGCGAATCTCATGGGGATATTTTGAGAAGTTTCAGAATTGGACGAGCATATTTTTGAGATATGATATCGGTGTCGTTTTAGTGTCGGTGATGCAATGATATGACAACACTCAGAAAACTCTGGTAATAGCTATCTGTTCATTGCTTTCTCCAAAGTACCTGCAATGCCGAGATTATTAACAGATATCTTGGTTTAAACATCTGGCATATTATTAAGATACATATTTTTTTAAGAGGGAAAATAAACTGCGAGCTTAAGAAAGGGACTATGATCTGGGGACTTTCTATCTTCTCACAGAGGCATTGTATTCTCATCTTGACTAGTATTCCTTCTAAACCGCAATTAATACTCCTAGAAGACCATATTGATTCCTACCCTTAACCTTAAAATCAACCTCAAGTCAGCAGAATACCCCCATTAAGTGAATTCATTATATAGCCCATCAAATTTATGATCATCTTTCCTGGAATATATATAGCTGCGTCTTATCCACCAAGTTATAGTCGGAAATCGCACTTAAGAAGCAATACACTTGTAAGGACAGCACAAGACTTGTCATAAATCATCTACAAGACCGATATATGCCTAGAGTTCTACAGTATGCCATCGACTTCAATATCATGGGATAACTTATTCTCGTTTGAGTAACTGAAGTATCCACCAATAGCGAATTTTTGAAAAGTTGATGGTAGAAACTATTTGCGGTACTAGCGGTGAGCCCATAGCAAGATTTCAGTGGAGCGGTCGATTGGCAATCATTGTTCTCCAGCAAGAACAAATTATTATCTGATATAATATCATCATCGATAGCATTCACAAACTCGCAATAATCTCCGAATATCTTAACTACCTGAGCCGGGGCACAGAAAATCCATTCTACCAGCTCACTATACTATTATTCAACACACTTCACTTTAGAAAGGGAGTCTTGTCTGGATGATTTGATCCCTTTATAATACTATCAACAGGATGATAATTCAATATTGAAGAATCATGAGAACCAGTAGAAAAGTGAATAGGAAAACTTTAAACATAATCATATGAGAACCAAATACTAATATGAAATCTCGTATCTCAGATCACGCCCCCAGTAAACACGATTTCGGTAAACCTCAAGCTCTATACTTCCTGTATATAATAAATAGGTAAACAAAGTTCACATAATTAGCTCTGTAAATACTATGTAAGACGACAACATCGTGGCAGGGTTTGTGCTGCGAGTGTGCTTCTCCGAGGAGTGGCTACATTTTCCAAATCTGATATTTGCAGCTCAGAGATTTATTCATGTGTTATTATAAGTGTAGATGAGCTCCTTGCGATTATTATTATTATCGTCATCAAGTACAAAACATCATTGAATCATGCTCCTCGCTGTTAATTTAAGTAAGACGTAATATTGTTACTTCAACGGAGGGAATATGGTGGATCTATTTCATGACGCGGAGTTCCCAAATAGCGAACGGAATGAGGTAACAACCTCACTCATCTACGTATACATAAGAACACCAGCATTTTGGTTTCCTCTAAATTGTATTTAGCGTCACTTGCTAATTATGGCTCACCAGTCCTCATAAACTTCAGAATACCCCATTCCCTTCAACCCATCAGATACCCAGGTAAGTTAACAACAATCCAGTAAAATTCACTTCTCAGATCCTATTTAAAGAACCCACTATAGTGCATAAACTAGCATAACTCTCAAAGTATAATCCCTACGCTTGTAATTCACTATCTCTTTAGAAATCTATCTCTTTGCGCTCGAGATTTCATTGGTCTTCTTGAAAATATGACGTCAATTTCGAGATTGATCAGATGTGCAACAAATTGATATTGAGGATCTAAATTGAGATTCAAGAGTTTGATTCACTTGAGGCTAGGGAATACTAAGGATTTAGTTAATGCTAACTAGCATCCAAGTTTTGATTAGGGCGGCCTTACTGTTAGTATGGAGTGCATACCTACCCATTGTTGTTAATATGGGATGAGGATCTGATGAGTTCTTTCGAATAAATTTTCGCGCTGGTATGACTATTGGCTGGTTGTAGAACTACTGTTTGCGCTCGTCAATTCATTGGATACCTCAGTTTGATGATGTCAATTTCGAGATCGATCAGATGTGCAACAAATTGATATTGAAGGTCCAGCGAGATCTAGAACCCTTTGGATTCACTTGAAGCTAGATAGTACCAGAGACTTAATGAATGTAAACTAACACCCGAGCTTTTGGTTCGCGTCATCAGTTCCTATTGCTACCTAGATAGGATAAGATCATACCTTGAAGATGCATACATGGGTAGTGAAAATTCTCGAAATTCCGATTGTGCTCGTGAAGCCATTCGCTGACTTCAAGACTCTCTACTTGCGCATAGAACTTCATTTGCTCTTTAAAATCATGACATCAAATTCGAGAGTGGATCGAATTTTCAGATACGCAACAAATGATGTTAAAATTCAACCACAAGGAGATCTAGGTACATCCTGCATTAATCTAGCACGATTCATGTAAAGATGAAGAATACATAGCAAGTCTAAGCATTAGGGAGATTTCTGCATTTGCTGCTATATAAATCTATAAATCTATCTGACGCCAAGATTGTAGTGTGGTCAAATACCGACGCTAGTCCCTCTAATTCTCATCCTTATTTAGCCTAGTACTAGTCTGAGTCCCACGAAATTTCCCTGCTTGGGTTCACACTAGAGAATCCAATGGTTAACTAGGAGGTGAATGAACCATTGGATCTGGCGCAAGTAACTTGGAAGAGCCAATGAGAGTATAAGCGCAAAAGCCAATTTCATTTTTTGATTTTGATACCTACACAACGAATCTGTCTCAAAAACCGGATTGCAAGTTATCACTTTAGTGTGTAGAGTCCCTATCCATCCACCTTGCTACTAAATCTAAGCACTAGTAAAATTTCCCACTTAGAACTTACGCCAGAAGATCTATGGATTCCCCAGAAGATATACTCTTTGCGCTCGTAAATCTATTGGCTTCTTGGAGTGTTTACGCCAAGTTCAGAATGTGCCAAATTATTCAGATATGCAACAGCTCGTTTTTTAGAGGCCGGATCTCAGACTATTCACTCTAGTTTCTGAATACCAGCGGTGATCTAACTACAGTTCGCCATTGGTATAAACTTTACCTAGAGGTGGAGTATTCCCACTACAATAATGGCTAAGAATTAGTAGTTTTCTTAAGATCAGGAAGTCTTCAAAACAGTTTGCGCTCTCGCAATTCTATTGGTTCTTTGGGAACTTCTCCTTTGCGCTTGTGCTTTTATTGGTTCCCTCCACAGCTTGCTTACGTTAAATTAGAGAATGGATCAAGTATGTAGATATGCAACGAATTCATCCCCTGGATTCTAGATTATGGAGTATTATTCACTTTAGTCTTAAGATATTTGTCCATTCACTATAGTGCTTGTCTTCATTATGGAACTTGTGCGTTCCCTTAAGTGTCCTCAGCCCTGATTACTCTGCCACTATTACGTACCTAGACTTCTTTTCTACGATAAAGAATGCAAATCTTCGCGCTCAATGGGAAGCAAGTTCTTCTCATCATATACCTCAAGTATATCATCTCCTAATGAAACTATTTAGATTCATATTATTGGCAAAAGAGAGTACATCTATAAGAACGATGCATCCCGAAAGCCCAACACATTTGAAAATGTTAAAAAATGCAAAATTATACTCCAATCATGACGCCATCACTATCGGCACCAACGCAAACACCACGCAACATACTACTCTCCTCCTCATCAGCGCATTACCCAGTAACAATCCTCACTCACTATACAGCATAAAAAAAGATAAATCATCCCCGCATCCTCACATCCTCACATCCTCAAACCCTCAACCCCCCTCCAAAAACGACTCCAACCACCAACCCCCCAAAACATTATTTTCTCCACGCCACTGCACTACACATCCAAAGCGCACAACAGCGCACCAATTTCCGCATCGAAATTCCCATCAGAAGTCATTAAATTATCGCATTTGGATATCGACCAATGAGGAGCCGCGCGCAATTTTTACGACGTGCAACATTTATTTTTGATCACGTGATCGTCCTCTCCAGACCTTAAAGAAGGTAGGAGTTCGAGAAAATGAGGCAGAGCGGAATGAAATAAACCAGCTACGTTGAATAATGCAGGGGTCAAGGAATTTCTTGTGGATGCGTGCGAAAAACATAGATGAAGAAGTGCGCAATCCCAACAGTTTAGCAGCCAAAAAGGATAAGTTCGCATGACCAACGCGGGATATGTAGATTCTCACATCTTCACTCTTATTCCATATGCCGAGTGAACAATTTCGTCGCTTAACGAAATAGTGGACAGGTAAGAATCAATAGGATACTATATTCTCGTCCTACCTTAACCTTCATTGGAATCTTCACTGAAAGTCAATCCAATAAAGGATTTAACGTCCTTAACCCTCAAAGTTTAAATCAGCGAAAGCTAGGCTAGCCAAGTTTCACTCAGCTTCTTACAAGAAAACCACTGTACTTAATCTTTTCTCCATGATCCGGTCGTACTATAGGAAGGACTCTGTATTTGATATCGCCATATTCGGGGTGAAGACGTAAAATTTTAGCGAAAAAATTGTTTCGCCTTCTGAGTTTATTACCTTGATGATACTTCATCAACTATGAATAACTTCAACGGCCGGATACTTTGAGGGAAGTGCACTATGAATAGTACAGATATGGATACGGCTTCTAGGAGAACTCGCAAACCTCAGTGCGATACAAAATTAAAAGAGGTGACGGAAAGGCACGTATGATTTTGCATACATAGATATCTTCGGGAGCGTTCTGTATATAGATTATCGGGAGTCAGCGGTAAGAAGTAAAAGGGGTAAGAAACGAATTGCAAGGGTTTAGTTGGTAAGATGAACTTTCGCAATTCTTCCGGCTATTTCAGCATCTCCCAACCCCGCAGATTTGTGAGATATGTATGATAGCCGAATTCCCTTCCGGCCTAATATCCCAGCACAATCTAGGTATGCAGGACGGAGATGTAGCTAAATTGGAACTTCGTTCATGTCCGTTAACCATTGAGCCGTTTACTTTCGGCATCGTAGGACTGTATCGAAACGAACGAGTACGCAGAAATAAGCGGGCGGTTAACACATCTATATATATTATTGGTGTATCAAAACTTTCAACGTTCATTGAGATTTGTTCTGACAGCTGCAGGAAGTGGAGACATATTTAAGTTCATCACGTGCAATGCAAGATGTTCTTTTTAAAGAAACCGGGTCTCCAAATATCCCATTCCCGGGCCGATCTGCCAAGAAAAGTAAGGTTCTGCAAGTCAATCCTACATGCTGTAATGTCCCGAGGGAAAAAAAGTCAACATGTGCATCCCGAGGTTGTGATATGAACATGGATCGGCGGTGATAGAGTACAACACACATGACGGGAAAGGTTAACGTTGTACACACTGGATGGCGAACAATTGATTGATTGTATTCATGGTCTTCTAGGAGCATTCAAAGATATATACCCTACCTTCAGTCCTGACCTTACTATATGAAGAAGGTCGGCTTGGTACCAATGCATCTTACTAACCATATAAGAAACGCCTCTGAACGCATCCAAAAACAATTACCAGGTCAAATTGTCCAGGGGCTACACAAAGTAACCATGGATAAAAAGAAAAGCAACATGCAAGCTTTAGAGATAATAATGATATGGTAAAGGAGATCTTTTTCTAAATTGAGATATATATCCTTCCTCACTAGCTTCGATTACGAAGGTGCGTGGTACGAGTATTGGTAAAAGTATATTATTTTATGCTGTGTAAAGATCAATAGGGTAACACAGGATAAGAGGATTGATTTACTTCAGCCCTTTTTCCATAGATTGGAGCTTAGACTTTCCAAACTGCTAGGTCGGGTACAGATATGATACCGAGACCAGGACTTCGACATGTAAGAGTGTGTTACACGACATCGATCAAACTCTGCACTTCATGCTTCATGCCTCACTCTTTACTTTTCTACTTGTTACTAGCAGTCTCGCAGATCCACACATTGTTCGTGCGCTCGTACTTATTGCTCGCCCGTATAGTAAAGGGCAAGCAAGTTCTTTCCACTTTCCACCCAACAAACTCCCAAAGTTCGGCTGCAATGTATAGAATGCTGGATGTGAACCCCTGAAGAGAAAAAACGGAGACGGTAAACTTATATAGGTATGGCTTCATCTAGTTTTCATCTGATTAATCTGTGAATCTGTTAATCATCCTATCAAATTCATGAAGAAGGGAATCTCAAGCCGAACAATTTCATTCTTATTTTCTAATTATTGAAACTCGTTCCGAAATTTATCAAAGCATCAAGGTTTGATCGTCGATATGTCAAATTTGGACATTTTATCCCTACATGGTACATTCACTTACGACAGCACAGAACAGGCCTCTTTGCTATCAGTGAAATGATAATAATAACAATAATAAATCTTGCACTCACTCATACCTATTTACCGACGCCACTGTTAGAAAAAAGCAAATACCTACAATTGTGACAATTGCGACGATTGTACAACAATGTTCACAAGGTGACTTTGAACATCTGGGTATCTATTTGGATGGAGAACAGAGTGATTCCAATTTTACATTAACCTTATATCTAATCCTCGAGTACTCCGTATATTAAATAATCAAATAATTCATCAACATATTGCGACTGCAATTCATAGTTATTTTGATACGAGATAGCCTAGCATGTATCCAAGTAACTACTAAATCTACATCATCTTTGTTCTCGACCTCACAAGGATAGTTTCAAGAATCATCTTTTTTTTTTTGACATCGGGTCCACAGCTTTCCGCTTTCTATTCAAACCTTCACTTCACTCTATTCCAGGTTCTACTTAGTTTTTTTAATTCATAACGCACTACAACATTACGATACTACATACAATATTGCCTAAAACTCGACATCGATTTCTGCTGTGGCATTCTTTCGAATTCCATCTGTATAATACCATTCATTACCTTCAGCCTTCAAAGATACCTTATCGTCGGCCAATGTTATTGGGAATACGGAAATATAACAAGAGAATCTTCTGCGAAGGTTCGCAACACACTCAATCGTGGCGGCATACAATCAGTCTTATCTTGCGCCAGGACTTGATCTGGAATTTCATTATCTTCAATCAGACCCGTCATCATTATATTCGGGCTCTGCCAGTACCGTATCGGATCTGACCATCATCGGCGATCAACAATACGCTTCATCAAATTATCCCATTGGCGACAACAGTCCTAGACCTCCGAAACGTCAGAAGATTGATGGGAAGCCTAGGCAGATTAAAATTCGAGCGAATATAAATAATCAGATGCCAGGAAATGATGCGTCTTCCGCAACTGCTGCGGAGGCTTCTACGGCCGCTGCAAATAAACCCAAAAGGGTGCGAACGGGATGTTTGACATGCAGGGAAAGACATTTGAAATGTGATGAAGGATTACCAAATTGTCTAAATTGCCGGAAATCAAGTAGGGAATGTAAGAGAGGGGTGCGGTTAAATTTTATTGATATTCAGATCAAATCACCACCAATCATCCCTCCTACGGCAGATTGGTCAGGTTAGTAGCTAGGAGGCCCTTTTTTCACCATGTGTTTACTCACAAATATTCAGTCCAATTCCAGGATGAGTCCCGCGAAATAGCTTCCGAGTACAAGGGCGGCTTGAGTCGATATACTCACATCGATCAAACGATTACTCCCCCTCGAGAACCACCCACTGAGTATCCTACAAGGCCCTTGGCCATTGATCCTATGATGCAAGAGAATGCACTACCACCAATACAAACTACAGGTTCCTTTATGGAAAATAATCTTGGGGTTAAGCAAGACATGGCGCCTTTGGCACATTCTAGGCATACGAGTCGACATTTATCTCATGCCGGGAGTGAAGGTTCTAGTTACTTAACCGCGCCGACTGCATATAGTACTTCCGAACAAATCATCACACCACCTAATGAAACTCGAGATTATCTCACCTCACCGGAAGAAGTTTTATTTATGCAAGTATTCGTTGAAGAGGTTGGATTATGGATGGACAGTATGGATCCGATGAAGCACTTTTCCAGGATATTACCGTTCCATTCTTTAGGGGAGCCTATGCTTCTCAATGCTTTCCTAGCATGTGGAGCACGACATTTGACTCTCGTTAATCCTATTTACCAGGAGGACAAAGCATTATATTATTACGATACAGCCACTACTCAATTGTTAAGATCGTTACAAAATCCCGATCGAGATACTGTCATTTGTGCAACTACAGCTGTCATTCTTAATGTTTACGAGATCATGTCTGAAAGAGCGATGCAACGTATGAACCATATTGCTGGAGCACGAGCTTTGATCAAGGAATGTGGATGGAATGCGCGAAGTACTGGTGTAGGAGCTGCGTGCTTTTGGCTTAATGTTGGCATGGAATTGCTTAGCTGTCTTCACTTCAATTGGCAAGTAGCTTGGGAGCCGGATCAATGGGGAGTTGATATGGACTTTTCAAGGGAATTCGAGGTTGGACGAGAGGAAGTCTGGGTTCATCGAATGTTATACATCACTGGTAAAATCGCAAATTTCAGAGCTTCTATTCCACGATTTCAGGAGGCTTCACCACAGGATGAGCAAATTCGAATGCAATCTAGGTATACGGAGTGGCAAAGGTTAAAGAATCTTTGTGATAGCTGGAATAGTAGTATACCTCGGACTATGCACCCCATGGCTTATTTGTATCCGTCACAGACCACTTCGAAATCCGCCTTCCCGGAAGTCTGGTGAGTATCTTTTTATTAGGTTGAGTGTACAAAGTAACCATACTAATCTAAGGACTGCAGGCTTCTCAAACGTGCCACGATCGTTGGTAGATTGTTCTACCACACAGCAATGTGTCTTCTCCCTCAAATTAATCCTTTATTGAGCCCGGAAAATGAAGAGATGCATGAAATGCAACAAAATCATTCGCATTCTATATGTGGCATTGTGGCACATGTCAAGGATAGAGGAGTGGCTAGTGTAGCACTTCGTTCTTTGGCTATCGCTGCTGAATGTTTAGTTGTTCGACGTGAACAAGAAGAAGTACTCGATATATTTGAGAAAATTCGAAAAGAGACTGGTTGGAGAGTGGGATTCTTACATAAAGAACTCAAATCGAAGTGGGGTTGGCCAGATGAAGCGGCACAGCAACAACAAATGATGGCACAATCGAGTTCCTTGTCACAATTCTTCCCTTCTAATACACAAGCAGCGACTTCAAATTTACCACCCGCACCACCAAGGCCATCGGTTCCCAGTGGTATCTTGAATCCGCTTCTCAAAACTGCGGATTTCTCCCTACCAAATCATCCATATCAACAATATTATCAACCACCGAATACGACTAATCAATTCACTCATACATATCTTTGATTGCTGTGCCTTAGATTTCACACGACCATCTTACTTCCATCGTTCTCTTCGCATTGATGAATCTCTCTTGAAAGGTTATTGAAATGATACTCGGGAGGGCAAAACCGGAAGAAAGTAACTTTGCATATGGATTAAACGGCACAAAAATGATCTTAGCGTTACGAATTGGGTGACATCCAGGTCAAATAGGCGTTTAAGGAATAAATAATCAACATTAGGTGGCGGCTCGATAGAGTTTTGTTCTTGAATATATAACCTTGGAGTTGGAAGGAAGGAGGTTTTTTGTCTAGCGTTTTTCTTGTATAGTGTAGTATCATAAACTTGGACATGATTGCACGATAGTATATTATGTTGAATTATATTCTCGATGCTATAACAATGATATTAGAGGGGGTATACCCGATATTTTAGACTCCTTGGGAAAGTTTTAAAATCAACATATGATGTTATAATGGTAATGAGATTATCGCAACCTTTACACTTTTCTATCGGAATAATCGAAATTTAAAATTTCCTGAAGCGATCATTAATCGCAAAAAATACTCTGCATAAACAAGTCCTAGGTGGGTAGTCAATCCATCAAAAAAAGAATCTGGCTAAATGTTAAAAATTACTTTTCATGGAAATCCATCCATACCTAATATTAGTCATCTAAAGTGTCACACAGCTAACATCATCCACCAATCATATCAGATACATGTGACGCGCCCCGTGATCTGGATAGAGAGCCCTTTTGTTGCATGTCTGGATTTGAGTGATGTGATATATTATTTTGGAAATGTTTTGGTAGGTAGGAAGGAAGAAGGGCATTTGTTTTTAGTACGGTGGTATATGATAGGATTGGTGATCTTTTTTTTTTGGAGTCTGTGCTATAGATGATGGGGAGTTTCTTATATCGGTAATTATCTGCTGGTTTATCTTACGACTGACTAACTATATATTTTAGATATCAATCTAAGTAAGATTCATTACAAAAAACAATAATAAATTTACAGGGAGATATCTTTATTTCTACGGGAATTTTGGGGGAAAGGAAAGAGAAATCTTCCTTACTTGTACTATACCTAGGCTCGAATAATGCTTAGGTAACGAATCTATCTCCCAACTTTACGACAGTAATCACATACATTCCCACGTGCACCATACACCAACAACCATCCAAAGAAATCAATTTCCATCTTTGAGCACTCAGTCGCACAGCAAAATCACAATGTCCATACCCCCAGGCGCGCCCCAACCATCATATATTCTCCGCGGACACGCAACGCCAATACATGTAGCGAAGTTTATACGGGGAAATACGAGATTGATCACGGGAGATGCGGAGGGCTGGGTGGTGTTGTGGAGTTTGGAGACGAGGAGGGGGGTGGCGGTTTGGAGGGCTCATGGGGGGGTTTTGCTTGGGGTGGGGGAGTGGGGGGAGAGGGGGGAGGGGATTGTTACGTGAGTTTCTTTTTTTTGGGGAGGCGGGTTGGGTTGGGTGGATTTGTGGTTTGTGATTTGTAGGGAAAGGAAAGGGGGAGAGGATTTGTGAGGTGGAGGAGGAGGGGTTTGGAGATGGATTTGGCTATTGTGAAATTGGAAGGGGGAGACGGAGGGAAGGAAGGAAGAAGAATATCAAGCTGACATTTTGTACAGGCATGGAAAAGATAACAAACTTATCATATGGAAACTTCCTCCATCAGAAGAAGACTCGATGAGTAAAATTCTTCCAGTCGATACTGTGTCGGAAGAGAGAAGAAAACCCTGGATATTACATATTTTAGATGTCAACACGATGAATTTCTGTGCGTTCGCCATGTGTCCTATAGTTACGGAAGTAAACCCGGCGGAGCATGAGGAGAGGGGAAAAGATGACGAAGCTCAACTGGGGATGGAATGGGAAGGGGAAAGTGAAGAACAATTATTAATCGCCGTTCCAAATATATTGACTTCTGAATCCGTAAGTATCCTTCCACACGAAATAAAACAGTAATCTAAGAATTCTAGATCGATATCTTCCATATCCCGACTCTCCACCGTATACACAATATTCCTTCGCCTGGCCCAGATAAACCTGGCATGATAATGTCTCTCTCGCTCTTTTTCCACCCTATCACCAAATGCCTAACCGTTATATCAGGTTATGAAGATGGCTCAGTTTCAGTTTTTGCTCTTTCTTCCCCTTCCACTCGAACCCCATCTTCCCCAGAACAATGGAACACCATATACCAATCAAAATCCCACATCCAACCCATTCTCTCCCTGTCCGTTGATCCGGGTCGTGATCGTAAATTCTTCATCACTAGTGGTGCCGATGATCGAATTATCAAATATCTGATTCCCGCAACTACAACTCCTTTCTCCCCTTCAAAATCAACCTCTAAATCAACAACAATAAGCTCTACCAAATACGAACCCAAAATCCTCAAATCCGCACACGCAGGACAACAAGGTATAGAGATTCGAAACGATGGGAAAATCGCCGTGACAGCTGGATGGGATGGAAGAGCAAGGGTATATGAAGTTACGAAGATGAGGGAATTAGCGGTGTTGAAGTGGCATAAGGAGGGGTGTTTTGCGGTGGCTGTTGCGGATGTTTTGGATAGGGATAGAGATGAGGATAAGGATGGGCGAAGTAGTGTAGATGGGAAAGGGAGGGAATTGGTGGGGGGAATTGGATATTTGGATGTTAAGGGGAAGAGATTGAGGAAGGCGAGGGAAACTCATTGGGTTGCTGTGGGGGGGAAGGATGGGAAGGTTAGTTTGTGGGATGTTTATTGATGGGGTTTTGATCGGCAATTAAGGAATTGCACTCGACGGGATAATGTCGATTGATGTTTTGAGTGTATTGAATGGTGATTTGATGTCACTTTTATGCGTTCTAGCTTGCTACAGATGGGAAAGGAAACAAAGCATATTGATGAGCATACAGGTAGCACAGATACGCCATGTAACAAGTAACAAGTATGAAAGAAGATTAATATAGAATTATTTCAAAGAATTAAAAAGGTCAAGTTGGAAGATCGAACAGTGCAACAATCAACCGTGTATCCATCATCGGTCCAATCATCACACCACTACACCAAACCATCCTCCATCCCTTTCACCCTTCCACATTTCCACTCTCCCACCCAAAATTCCCTTCAGTCCCCCCCCCCACCCCCTACCCCAACCTAAGCACGGCACGGCGACCCCACACCCTCAGTAGGCAACCCACACTGATCGGGCGTCAAAAGCATCCAATCAGCATCAATATTACCCAACTCAACCGCCCTCCCATTAGTGAGAGTATTCATCGCACTCTCGGCAATATTGAATCCGTTAGCCGCAGCATCAATAGCCAAAATATTGATTGTGACACCTTGATACGTTAAACTGTAGCAAGTGCCACAATTGGGGGAGTTCCAGCCGGCGATCGTGGATGCGCCCGCCGATGCGCGCGAATGTGGGGAGATCCCCTTGGACTTTGTATTGCGGGAAGCGGGTTTCCAGACCGTTGGGTCCGTTGGAGCAGGCGACTAGGTCGAGGGAGCGGGCGGCGTTGTCGTAGCCCGGGTCGTAGGTCACTTGGATGGCTTGGGTGGATGTGATGAGGAGGGTGAAGAGGGAGAAATTGTTGCGGAATTGCATTTTGGATGGGGTTTCTTGTGTATGATTTGTGTTTGGTTTGTTGTGAGTGATCTTTGGTTTTGGTGGGAGGTTTGGTGTAGTGATGTGATGTTTGCCGAGATGTGGAAAGTTGTCGAAGTCGATGCTGATGCTGTTGATATCGATTTGATGAAGGACCTATTCCCCATTTTATATCCATCATGACCGCCTCCGATATTTGTAAAATTGATTATTTACTATGATACACAAACCTAGGATGTTTACCTCAAATTCTTAAGTTCCTCATGATCCCGGGTTACCATGGAGGAATATATGAAGTTATCCCCATCTAGGGGCTTGATTGCTTGGTATACGCTTATATTTTGATAATGCGTTATTAGGAAGAATCGAAACAATCGGGTTGACTAGGAGATAGTTATTTTCTCACGTTCTTGATGCGGGGTGCAGAAGAATGTTAGGAATGTTGGAAGCCCGAAGATCATTGGAGCGAGAGATATGCACTTGTATATCAATTCCAGAATACCAGAGTGTCAAATTTAGGCCACCAACCGTCCATTTCCGTTGCATTTAGAAGTTTCCTCATTGGCATGCTCACCACTGGCGTTTTTACATATGGATGATTAGATTAAGAATGTTTCGACTGAACTAACTTGGTATCTTGCCAATTAGTTGGGCAAACTGAATCAAGCTGCCGATGTACCAATAAAAACACTACTATGCATAGCTTATTGGTATTTAGGATAGTTCAGAGCCAACTTGACTGAGACAGATGTGAAAAGATACAAAGAAGAAAGCATATAGATGGAAGTCCGTGCACTATTTAAATCTAAATATCCGGAATCGATCTAGCTTGGAAACAATGTAGATTCACAAATTGCAAATCATTACAGCTAACCCACAGTTGTTGAGATGCCTATGATGGTAGAGATCATCTCAGTTTTGATCGTACTTAATACTGTACAAGGTTTGGCTCGGCTTTAAGAGAGGGCAGTAAATAATACTCCTCGCGTAGCTCCGTAGCTCCGATTCCAGTTGCAAGAAGATCTGAGCTTGTATATTCCGTGTTGTTGGCTATGATGAGGGGTTCCTTCGCCTTGCTGTGCTTGAAGGATATCTCATGAGGATATGTAAGGTTAATACTTTTTCATACTTTTTTCCAGAGACAGACTCATCTCCTCGCCAGCAACCATCCATCTTTCGTCTAGTGAAAGAGGATGGCCTCCGGGATAGCCGAAGTATCTCCCAACATCCATAGGGTTAACCGGCACTGGCGCTAAATTGTCCAAGTGATTCGTAAGTGTGGAGATCTAACGTCTCGACATGACATATAAATTTCAATTATGGCATGGAGACGTCAAGGATGACGACTGATATCTGAGATATTCGTCGACCTCATTTGTCATTGTTAATAGATTGAAGCTACTGCAAAGCCGAGTGACTGCTTTTCACACCACAGGTTCTTAATATCCCGCCTTGGATAGATTGGATGTTACAGAAAAGATATCTTGAACACAGAGCTTATTGAGCACGCCAACATGGGCAATGATTGCCTGATGGTTTTGGTCACATGGACGAGTTATCTTTGCTATCCACACAAGATATCCTGAGTGTTGGTAGCGAAACTGATTGGATACCAACAGAGAATACAACATGTGCCGGCAAACTGGGCATCAATAAAATATTCCCTCAGTCGCGATAAGCTCACAGCCAAAGAGTAACAGCCCACAACCAACAGTTACCGGCCGTCAATCACAACCATCCCATCACCAATGAACATATGCAACTGAGCAGTCTGGGTACCAACCCACTCCTGCACCTCAACCACAACCAACCAACCCATCACTAATCAACATATGCAAGTTAGCAGTCTGGATACTAACCCACTCCCGTCCCTCCAACCCCCCCCCCCTTCGTCCCCTCGGCTACTAAGCCCTATCTTCATCCACTGAAAATGATCAATCATGATTTGTGTCGCAACATCCCCTTGTCTTGCAACTGGAGCAAATAATTCCTTGATGTTCATCAAACTTTAAACTCTTGGCATATCGATAAGAAGATAAACACACACGGATTGAATTGAATTGGATCCCCCCACGTGCAGAATTCATACGTCAGAAAGGAACCCCAAAATCCCATATAAAAAGTTGAGATCCTTGAATTTTCATCCCAAATTCCCCAAGAGAAATTAGAACCTCCTTTTTTTTTTCCCTATATGGTACTCGAGTATTGGAAATTGCGAAAAGAACCGAGAAGGCTTGATTATTTTGGTAACAGTTACCTTCCTTATTGGGGGAAATGCCTAGACACGTGCATTTACCTCTTCCAAGAGAATTGAGATTGAGAAGGTCGCAATATGAATATGGCGGTACGACGTTAAATAGTATTACCACTGCCAATATTGTGGTGCATAAAATGACCGCTGTCCCGGGATTTCTGGCTAGTGCTGGTGAGTTTCTTCAATTACATTTTCTCCTATTTCTTCTGTTATTTTTGTAAGATTTTTGCATTCGAATTGTACAACAAAAAAGTTTGTGGGTTTGGAAGGACAAAAGTTGTTGGAAAGATTTTCTATAAATTTTTCTTGCTGAGCAATTGGGACGCTATCAAACCAAATACATTCATTCACTTGACTGCATTCATTTTCCTTCCTTTCTCTACTCTATTCCTCAATTGTGAGTGAGAAGAGAATATTCACATCTCAAGGTACTTTCTATTTTGCAAATGTCAATCGTTCATCAGCAAGCAAAAAGTCAAAGGGTTAGCCTACCTCTGCTAACAACCAACCCCCACCAGCGTTCTTTACTTTCCTTCGAGCAAATTTAGTCCTACCACCGTCAACTCTCAACTCTACATACTCAACACCTATTCTCTACGCGTCTTCTTCTCAGACCCTCCCAACACTTCGCCCATCCTCCCTCGCAAATATGTCTTCCAATATCGATGATGATATCATTGTGCCCAATCCTCTCGACGGCATTCCCTCTCTCACAACTATCGCCTTAACCACGGAAGAAGATAAAACAAAAGCCCTAAAACTGGTTGCAGACTCTATTGCGCAACAACGACAAATTGCCGCTCAAGCAATTATTTTCCATCCTCTCACCCTCACACTATACGCATTAATAATAGGAATTGTTACAAAATGGCAATACACAGACACCAGTGATTTTGGATTACTAGCAACGACACTTGCAGGAGTAACAATGGCATGTTTGGTAGCAGTACGAGCTGCAACCGCTGGATATTTACACACGGCTGAGGAGTTCAATTGGGATTTTACTAGGAATGATGATGGGGAGGAAGATGTTATCATTGGTTCTCGATATGGCGATGAAATTATTGGAGCACTTATATTACGTATTGAGCGAGCACCTCATATAAATGGATCGCCAAAGAGAGGAAAAAGTGGAAAGAAAGGGGGAAAAGGTGTCGTGAGGGCGTGGACTACAAAAGTAAGGTACAGAGGTACCGGTGTGGGAACGGAGATGTTGGAAGAGGCAGTTAGGGAGACGAGGGGAAAATTAGGGAATTCAGCTGAAGTGGGATTTGCTAAGGAGCATGCAAATGCGAAGATGATACTACCGGAAGTTTTCAATGGCGAATTTAGAAAGAGGGAGAGGAGAGCTGCTGGTGCATTGGAAGCGGTGCTTGAGAGTGCAAGGGGGAAGAAGAGATAAATGAGAAGGAACGTGATGGGTTGGGTAGAGATAGATGTGAGGATATGTAATGTTCTCCTGGGCGGTTCTTTTTGAATAGGGGTTCGGGTTAGGGTCAACATTTTGGATACCATACAGGAACCGGTCATAGAATAGCATCTCAGGAAGAATGAGCTACCATTTGGGCTCTTGAAAATCGTTCATAGCATAGCGAGTCAACATTGGGGTCTGGGTTTACGCGAAGAATAATTATACCATCAAATTATAACCTTATACTTAATATATTTCACACGTATTTTCCGATGACAGGGACGTTTACAACCCCTCCTCCTTCCATACCCCGCATCACCTGAACTGATTTTCGGAAGATTTTATTGTGTGTACGTACGGAGTACGGAGTATTGATGATGGGATCGACATTCATCATTCGTCACCCATCATGGATCAGAGGTAGCTTGGCGTCATGGGTGGATTTTGATTATTTGGATGTGAGATTTTCATTTATATCAAACGCATGGGGTAATATGGATGATTGTATGCTGGAGTGTATGGACAGGAAAAGTAAGATATATATAGAACAGCAGACTACAAGGTTGCTGTGTGTTTTGTGATTCTTATGGGTGGAAATGTATGTTGGATTTGATGAGGGAGGAGGAAGGAGGAATAAATTCATGTTTAGATTCTACTGATGTATTTGTGACTGTGTGATGACGTATTGATGTGCATTATTGATATTGTGTATTAAAGTTTAACGGTACTGCATGAGTTCAAAATGAATTGATAACAATGATAACATGAAAGTCAATTGACAGGGAATACTGAAAGCTCTTTCGCTTAGTGAATGACTAAGCACAAAATTTGAATTTGCAAAGAACTTTTCCTCCTTCAATTTTTATTTATTTTTCTCCAATTCTCTTTCCAATCTTGTTACGATATTTTTACAATTTTTACTTTCTCTACACAATAAAGTTTTTCTCATGAAACAGACAATAATCAATTCTTTTGCTATACATTCATTCATCCACCTAGCTAATGTTACATTCAGCATTTACTAGCAAGCATGTAGTTTTCAAGGGTAGCCTCATGTGAGGTATTTCCAATTGCAGCATCACAGCAAAACCTGCTTGCTGATCTTGTTTACTTTCCCACGTTCCTCGGTATAGGATATCGGATATCGGGATAAAAGCTTGCAGGCAGAGAAGCAAACAAAAGCAGCGCTACTAACTTCCCCACATTCTCCATCATTTCTCCATACACTCCTTCCCCATTCAACGAACGATCACCCGAGATGCTGCTCGCATTCGTTCATTCGTCAGCTTTTACGCTTGCCGCATCTATCCGCTTCATCTGGTGGTTATTACCACAACTCCCAGATTCCAACTTCAGCTTCTTTTCCAATTTTCTTTGCAGATTCTTGGATTGAAAATTGGATTGTGAAGATGAAGGTAAATTTGAGGACGACTGCACCTACAGTGCGGTCATTATTCAGATCTGTTCAGCAAAGAAGTTTCTCGTCCTCAATAGGAAGACAGGCACAATGGGGATTTATTGGTCTTGGTCAAATGGGTACGTTCACTTCTCCATGTACCAACACAAAGAATCAATTGCTAACATCACATAGGATACAATATGGCGAGAAATCTCCAAACAAAATTACCTTCTGCCGATACGATTCGAGTTTATGACATCAATACTGATGCAGTGGAGAGATTCACGAAAGACACAAAAGCTCTTGGAAGAGGTGCTGCCGTAGAAGCTGCAACCAATGTTAGGGAAGCTGCCGAGAATTCTGTAGGTTATTCCACTTATTTTCGTGTCTTTTGATGCCTTCAATTTCTTCCATATTTATGTGATGAGTTTGTTCCATGAATGATCTAAGTTGGGGTCAACCGTCTTGGTTGATCTTCTAATGATTTTTATATTATACAACAAAGCCAATCCTCTGATTTATTACAATCAATTGTCTATTTTATCTCCATGTACATCTCTTTCAAATTGCTAATAATCAGTGATTACAGGAAGTTACCATTACCGTTCTACCTGAACCATCACATGTGCAAAGTGTCTTTGGTCAGATACTTAAGCCTCCACTTTCTACATCCGTAGTCGCCAATTCAGACCGTCTCTTCATTGACTGTTCTACAATTGATCCAACGTCTTCCAAAGAAGTTGCTAGGGCTGTTCACACTACGCAACAAGGTCGATTCGTTGATGCGCCAATGTCAGGAGGTGTTGTTGGCGCAACCGCCGGAACTTTAACCTTCATGCTTGGTGCTCCGGATGATCTAGTGGATCGTGTAAGTCCAATACTCACGATGATGGGCAAGAGAGTGTTACATTGCGGAGCCCAAGGAGCAGGTCTTTCTGGAAAGCTCACCAACAATTATCTTCTGGCTATCAACAACATTGCGACAGCTGAGGCAATGAACCTAGGAATCACTTTGGGTCTCGATCCACAAGTTCTAGGTAACCTGATCAACAGCAGCACTGGCAAATGTTGGCCAAGTGAACTGAATAATCCGGTTAAAGGTGTAGTCGCTGGCGCACCAGTCGAAAAAGATTACAGTGGAGGATTTGGTATCAGTCTTATGAGAAAAGATTTAGGACTTGCATTAAAAGCGGCAGAAGAAGTTCAGGCCAAACTTGAGCTTGGTAACAGAGCTCAAGAGGTTTATGAAACTGTAGAACAACAGGAGAATTGTAAAGGCAAGGACTTCTCTGTTGTGTATAGATATATCAGTGGTTCCGCGTAGTCATGCTACGATAAGTTTAATAGACTTTAATAAGGATGAATAAATATACAGTACCATGAACAATTTTGAAATAAGATTTTATATGTTTGAGCTTAAGCGTGACTCCCTGTACATGTCATGTGAAAATCATTGAATACATACCAATACACCCACTGCAACTAGGAAATTCATACAGATTTCTATTATTATGGAGAAAAAAATCAATAGATAAGCATTTCCTATTTTGAGAGCTCGAGTATATGAAGTTGATTTATGTCTATGGCTCTTGCGCTGCTTTTATCATCTTAATATATAATATGTGAGTTTACTATACATATACCTATACCTATCTATACCTTCATACTTGGTTGTACTTTTATTCCTCTTACGTTTTGTCTTATGCTACTAAGCATGCATCTTTTACATAACCTTAGCGATCAATGATCAGTGATCAATTCTCAAAAAGGGGAATTTTCTATTTTGCCTTCATTCTCTTATTTCATATTCCCCCATTCCCCATTCCCCTTTACCCCCAAAATCCACAACCCACAAGCCATCACAGCTAACACAACCTCCTTAGCCCCTCCACCACACCCCTCAAATCCTCCGCCCTAACACCCAAGCCGTCACAAATATTCTCTTGAATCGCGCCGTCCAAATCCAAAAACCGTTCAATCAACTCCCCGTCTACAAATCGAAAGGGTTCATTTGTTTCCCTCACGGCCGAGACATACGATCTATATTTATCGAAATCGAGATTGCCGGGACTGAATTCGATGGGAGCTGAGAAGGAAGAGTCTGTGAGAGAGCGGGCTGGGAGAGATGCGAGACGGCTTTGGAGACGCATTAGAAGGTCTTGATTTTGAGGGGGGATGAGGGAGAAGAGATAGATGGAACCTTCGGTCTGGAATGTGGTTGTTAGTAGCTGGGATTAGTTGGTAAAGGGGAAGAGAAAGGGAGGGGGAAACGTACTGTTGCGACGAAGGCTCGAGGGATTAGCAGTGCATCTTTTGACGTTTCTACATTAATCCTTTTAATCTTATTTACCATCTCCCCCAAATTCATCTCACAAAGAACCTCAAGCCTAAGCTTATCTTCCCTTGTAACTCCCTCGCGATTCCTCTTTAAGACAATGAGATTCCCATCATGATCTGATTCCAAATAAGTATCTGTGTCTACCTCGGCTATACTCGTTGCGAAAACTTGTTGTGCATGTCTACCCACTTCTTCGAGTTTGTCTGGTAGGCCGTCGACGCCTGGTGTATATTCGACGAGAGCAACGGATTTCATGATATCGGCTACGGCTATTATGTTACCTCTAATATCGATATCGATTGGACAAGTCGCACAGCGATAGGTAGCAACTTTTCGAAGATTGGCAGTAGTACGGGACGTTTCTTCGTAATCGTACATGACAACAGTTTTATTAAGTGCCGCGACGATTTTACCATTAAGGACACCAATACACCTGCAAGAGCCTTTAAGAGTGTGAGAAGCGATTATGTATGGAGTTCTGTCACTATTGACACCGAAGATAAGAAGACGACCACGAATATTTACTTCGCCATCATGGAGAAAACTGGTACCAACTAGGAAGCGCTCGACTAGTTCACCGTCTCCATATTTTGTTGGAAGCTCGGCTCGTATAACACTTTCGATGATTTCGTCATTGGCTGGTAAGTAAAATGGCTCGCCTAGTTCGCCGAAAACGACCTCATCAACCAATCTAAAAGAAGTAGTGACGATTTCTTGTCCTTTTGTTAATTCACGTTTGATGGCTCCAATAGCAAATGCTCTCTCTTTGGCTGAGTATGCTATTCTTCTGACAGTTTCACCAATCGGTAAAGTTCTGACATGTGTTCTCCGTTCATTGTCGATGGCTGAGAGTTTGAGCTCATTCGTTGTAGCCACGACTACTGAATCAGGATATGCTCGACTGTTGAACGAGCATACTGTGATCGCATCTTCAGCTGTAACAGCCGAATACACAGTCCTACCCTCAGAACCGTATATCAAACTAGGATGCTCACAAGTTGCAAAGACATTGAAAGTGGTGTTATCTCGCGGCAGAATTTGAAGTCGTGCCTGTTGTGTACCGAGCACAATACTTTTCCGTCCGGAAAGTGAACAATTCTCACTGTCGACGTCGAAACTCAACACAATACCATCTTCCATACTCACAAATAATGTTGGACCCGAAAGTTCCGGAAGCAAAATTTGAGTAAGAGCAATGTCTCTCGGTATAGAAGCACCATCGTTCCGTCGTAGATCTTCGGATACTATAGTTTTGAGAGTTTTTAGATCAAGGAGAGATATTGATCCTGATTTCCATAAACCAATAACACCTATATCTCCCAATAACTGAGGTACATGTATGCAAGCTACTTGATCATCCCCAAGCTCCTGAAACGCAACTTCGGCTAGATTTTGTTCGATTGACAGAGTGACTAGTGTACGTCCATTAGATGAAAGTAGAATATAGTTCTGGTTCCCCGAAGCTGCTGTAATAATTTGTCCGTCAGGAGGTTGCCATCGATGCCCCGGGGATTTGCCATGTATTGCTACCTCATGTTGGGTGACTTGTAGTATACAACCATTATCGAGATTATAAGTTAGTAATGTTTCCGAGGCAGCCGACAAATTGCTGATAGTATTCACCTCTTCGATATCTCCTAGCGAATCGAACTTGAAGAATCGAGTTTCCGTGGAAAATGACACTACAAGAGTATCATTCGGCAGACTTGGACCAGAATGTAATGCGAAAACCTTATGAATACCCTCCATTTCGGCAAGTATTGCAATATCATCAAGCCCAACGCCACTTCGAACGCTTCTTAAACTTCCTCCCTCAAACCCTCCACTACCCGTGACTAATCGAGCTTGGCCTGAAGAGTACTCATTCAATTGAGTCTGACCCTCTCTCCCACCCATATCCATGATTGTGAAATCTAGTATGGGCGCAATATTAGGTAATACCTGTAATACCGTAACACTATAATTCGGACTCCCCAAATCTATTTGAATGACTTGATTGTCTGCTTCATGCGAAGCAACATAGAACACCCCATTGCCCAGGTTCTCTAAAGATGTAGGCTTAGATACCTGCCCCAGTTTTAGAACCTTCATTCCAGTAACTGTAGCACCATCGACTAATATTGTGAAAAGGTATAGAAATCCATAATCATCTCCCAGCAGATAATTCCTGTCGTCTATTGGTTCCCATGCAGCCCATAATACAGCCTCATCTAGCGCATACTCGACGATCGCTTTACTCTCATCATCCAGATACGTAAACTTCGTCTCTCCTAGGACAACCACTCCTCCTAAATTAGCCTTCGCCGTCGTCGCATTCCTAACAATATACCTCTTGCTCCCCTCATCTTCTCCCTTCGGAACTGGTATGATGTGCATAGCCCCAACACACAAATCATCCAGATCATTCTCCCTATTTTTCTTCGGATCAAATTGCAGATTGGGATGTCCTTTATCATCCAGCATCCTATATGTCGCCAAATTCACATTCTCCCTCGCGTCCTGGTAAAGTAACGCCAGTTTCGGCTGTTTGGTATGCGTATACAGAAACGCACTCGCCCTAACCTTCATCTCCGAAATCCTAACTTGTTCCGGTTTCTCCAGATAATCCGTTTTGCCTCCTCTCGGCTTCACAATCTTCACCAAATTCAACACTCCCTCATACAATTCCATGACCAGTAATCGCCCCGTCGGATCCACAAGACATCTATCTCTACTTTCCGAATCCCGCATATGTTCTTGAGAAATATCCACAAATGATTGCATGGTATCCAGCTTATGCGTATTAGGATTCCACATGACGGTAAAGTATTGTGCTCGAACAGTTCCTACGAACAGATGGTCGGTTTTGGATCCGGCGGGTTGGATCTTTTGGAGCATGGATATGCGGCCGTATATAGATTTCGAGTATGCCATTGTAAGGCCTTCTTCCGTGGCCTTCCATATTTCCAATCGATTTGCTTTGCTGTTTAGAGATTAGTATATGGTTGTGTTGTGTTGTGTTATGAATTTGTATCCTGGAAGCTTGAAGTGGGATACTACATACGCAAGTACTAGACATTCCTCCCTGTGATCTAGAAGATTCAATCTTAATGTAAGACGTACACTACTTGGTCGATGTACCGGTGCTAAATAGGCCATGTTAAATATTCCAATGGCGTAGAGAAATGGTTTACGATAGTTGTTTATTTGTGTGGAGGGGAAGCTTTGGATATAAAGTAAAGCTCCTTGTCGGCCGAGCTTGTTGTTTGTCTGATAACGATGCCGGCACTTTTTTATCGTTATCGCCTACATTCGGATTTAAGAAAAACTTCCCCTCTAACTCCTCTTAAGCATTTGTACTTTAGATGACATTTAGATTTATAGATAATACAATATACAAGAACTTTGATTGCTCAAAAAGCGTTCAATTTCAAATCAAATCAAGGAGATACACATAAAGTAGTGCTGTGGAAATATGTTCAACGATCTACTTAGAATCTCGTCTCCAAAGACATATGCGGGGTATCTATCTTTTTGATTTTGTACGCCAGAGAATCCACCCATATCATACAATTCTATCATTCTTCATCATCATTCAGATCAATTGTTTGCGCATCCACCTTAGCCCTTGACATCTTCGCAGCATTATTTGGCGCACTGATTGTATCAATATATGCCATGTCATCCATCCCGGTGGTCAACCTGGGTACCGTATCAATCGACAGTGCCTGCTCATCTCCATTCTCATCTTGATCAGCATAAATAAACATGTTTTCATGATAGCACTCCCAAGCAGCTTGATGATCCTCGTCGACGTATCGATGCTTCACCCATTGTTCCTGTTGCGCAGCAGAAATCCGTACGGCAATATTGTCACTCCCATCTTCCTCTCCATCAATATTTGACTTTACTGTCATATGAATAGCTCGAGCTTCGGTAGCCTTGGGCGTAGGTCCTTCCCGCGGGCGATTTTGCTTTTCCTGTTCTACGTGTGCATCGATATGATGAAATTGGGGCCTCATTTGTACCATATGGTCAATCGGAGTGAGATGAAGTTTGTCTAGGTTGGATTAGCAATTTTCCTAGGAACACCAAACATACCCATTTACCTTTTTGAAAAGCCCCCAGAAAGTAATTAGGACTATTTTTGTCGACTGGAATTATTTGACCACCAAGAGTTTGCTTTGTCAAAACCTGTTCACTTCGAATAGCACCTTCAAAATCCGCCAGTACTTTCTCAGGATCGAGCTCCTGTGCCCTTCCCCTTCCTCTTTGACTTGGTTGCGCGCCTCCAATTCCAAATCCACCTGGTAAACCATGACTTCCTCCACCCTTAACCATATTACTCTTCTTAATAGCATCTCCCCATTTCACACCCTTATCTTTGTCATAATTCCTACGCGCATCAATTGGAACATCCATCTCAACCATTCCGGCTTTTGGTTTCGTTCGAAATTTGAGAGGTTGAGCATCATTTGATCCGGCATATCGTTGCTCAATATCGCGATTTGGGAATTGTAATATGTAGATTTCTCGACCTTCAGAAATGTGAGGTTTAATGAAAATATCATAGGAGCTGATTATTGGATCATCCTCATCATCTATGTCGGCATTCATATGAAGGTCTGTCATTTTTGCTGTTTGTGAAAAATAGATACAATGGTAAGATTGAATCAATCAAAGTCTTGAACTTTTTCAATCATCAAAATGTCTGGACCTGAATAATTATCAGGATTCTTTAGCTCCAATAATTGAATCCCGACATCCGATCAATTTATCGATAAGCTGCCAGGCTGCATCAGCTGCATTACGCTAATTATCGGCTTTGTCTAGGTATATCAAAATCTTATTATATATACAAACATGTTATGATTTATCGAATATAGATGTGGAAAATGATCACAGTTTAAATATTATAATTAATTATTAATATTTTCCTAATATTTAAATTTTTGAACCTTTCAAATCTCTTAAGAAAATAAAACCAATATAAATCTTCACAAAAACTCCAGGGATCCAAAGGCGCAGACCCCTGCACCGTATTAAACAAACAAAAAAGCCTTCACCACACAAGCAAGGCCCGAGTTCCGATGACGAAGCACCTGCAGACCAAGAATCAGCTTCGCCCGCCGCGAACAGAGAACATCTGATTTCGCATAAAACCAACCCTTCAATCATCCTTCCTTTCCACATAAAAAACAATTCTCCAACCCTACGAATCTTTACATATTCCATACGTATATCTATTTATTTATCAATAAAGTGAAAAAGATGTGCTCATCTGATATCTTCCTCGGCTTGATCGCTATCCTCTTTCCCCCTCTGGCAGGTAAGCAGGCATCTATCTATCTTATCTCCTACTTTCCCCTTCCTGCACAACTTTCACATGAGTGGATGATACTATAACCCTCCACAACATCTCCTCTACCCATCCATCCATCCATCCATCCACTAACCCCTCTAGTCTGGGTAAAACGCGGCCTCTGCTCCGCAGACTCCCTAATCAACATCCTCCTCTGCATGCTCGGATTCCTCCCCGGTCTCCTACACGCCTGGTACATAATCGCCAAATTCCCGGATGAAGAATACAACTACGACCGAATCCCCGATGCGGAAGGCGCTCGCGTGACATATGTGGTAGTGCAAGGACCGAGTGGGCGATCGCAACGGGTGCCGAAGAATGCGAGAGTGCAGCAGCAGCATCAGCAACAGGGTTATGGAACGACGGCTCCCATGGAAGCACCGACTGTTCAGCAGCAGCAGAATGGTACGTGGGCGGTTGCGGGTGAGGGACAGGCGCACGGTGGTGAGGGAAGTAGTGGTGCGGTGCCTCCTTCGTATGCGGAGGCTGTTAAAGGGGATCATAAGGTTCAGTCGAGGGATTAGAGGGGAGAAGATGAGGGATTGCGCAATGATCGATGGGGTACTATGATATGAACTGGTGATGGAGGATGGATTACGAATACCAAGGGAGGTTTGATTACGGGCAGATCGATGCGAACTGGCGCAATTTGGGTAATTTGGGTAGGCATGACGCTTTCAGGTTGTATGCAGGAGTTTTTGATATTTTGATTTACGTTCACATGGCATAACAGCCCAGCACAAAAACATGTATTAGAACTGTCTTCTCAGCAAGATCGTGCATTATTCATTATCCCATCAAATTCACTGGGGCTTCAGGCCAACTACCCCAAATCAATGGTCTATCCGTGACTCTCGTATTCAGCGGTGCCAGAATCTTCAATCGCTTTTTCTTCTCATCCACTTCTGCTACATATACAAATCCCATAACACTTGCATCCCGAATAGTATCTTGCGAATCCCTCGTCGATGCGTGCATGACTGCGAAGATGCAATGCAACATCATGGGTACCGGCTCTACTTTTTCATATTGTGTCGGTTCAGCGTCTTCTTCTCCTCCCGGTAAAAATGCGCTGTGCATTGAATGTGCTTATGAAGTATTAGCATCCTGAAAATGTCCCAAGATGAGAAAAAAAGAAAAGAATATTGCAAACCTTCTCTAACTTTGAAAATGGAAAGCTCATCGTAATTAACAACTTGTGTATGCGGACTCAAGGTTCTTTTGGCATCTCCGAAAAAGTATTCCTTGATGGCTGCGTCCCGCATTTGTTGCATGAATGCATCATCTCTATCGACACAGCCTCCTGACTTGTCCAATCTCACAAGAGTAATGGCTTCTCCGCTATCAGTCTTGTGTGCTGAGAATCGCCGTATCATATCACTGTGTAATCTCTCTGAGCCCAGCACCAGGATAATATTGACTGCCAGCACCATTAGTCCCCATCTTGTGAAGCAAATCCCCCGCCCCCTCTCCCGCTCCGGAGAAAACTCACCTGAAAACTCCGAAACAATATGAGAAATCAACTCATAGCCTCCCTTCCCCTGACTAATAACTCCCGGAGTATCAATAATCATGCCCGTCTCCCTACACTTCACATCATCCTGCAACCTACTCGTCGCGGCCAGCGCCAACCTCGTCACAACCGGCTTAAACAACTTCGCATTATCCTCCGGACTAGGAAGTCCATAGTAATAACACAGTGGCAGCTTCGCTGGCACGGGACTCGGTCCACTCGTAGCACTACTCCCCC